TCAACTCAATATCATATTGATCTAATTATGATTATATTATCTCATAATGGATCATTAAAGTATTATTATTATAATATTATAAAAAACAATGATAGCCAATTAAATTAATAATAGTATTATGATAAGTGATAAAAATTTCAATTCACAGTGCAGTAGTGTATTATTTCGAAAAAATACAGTACTGCACTAACTATTTGTTAATATTGAGTAGCAATAGTGTATTATTTTGAGATACCACACTATTCCATTTGATTGTACAATATTTATCGAGTGGATTTTTTATTTTGCTGACAGTTTTTTTTAGGTGTTGAAATATTTTTTTGTTTATTCCTGTTTCAAATGGAATTTTTTGTAATAAGCCCATTAACGAACTCTTACTCGGTAAGGCAAATACTTTTTGGAGTAACCTATAAGCTGTTCCACTTTCCTTAAATAATGAAACAGCAAATATTTTATCATCCAGTGTGAATTGTGTAGTGATCCCTCACTAACGCTTATATTTTGAGTTTGACGACGTTGATGGTTGAGTAGGAGAAAAGGTTGCAGAGTTACAAGTTACAACTTTATAATTTAAGTAATTTATTTTAAAGTTAATAATAATATAATGGTATTACATTTGAATATAGAAATTTGAGGACAGAGCGATAAGCGTCTGCCCGAGAGATTAGTGGTTAATACTAAGTACTTACAAGTATATACGTCGTACTAGCACTGCGCTAATTCTAATTTAGATACAGACGGAGACTCGTATATATACAAAGTCTCCCTAGGTTATTAGGTACACGGTAGAGACTCGGAGGTGGATCAAAGGAATACCGGCGGTTTGAAAGGTACCGGCGTAAATGTTAAAAGTTGTCGAATAAACCTTGAGTTGTGAACTGGTTTATTTGGCAATATGTATTATTAGAAATCGTTATGCGATTTCCAACGGTGTTCTTGAAGTATGTAATAAACCTCAGGGCGTGTTATAGTTATTGATCAATATATCATATAGTGCAAAGTCCTTATGATGTACAATTATAGGAAAGCGACTCTGTCGGTTTACTACACTCGTCTTCCGTTTGCTTTCTTTGATTGTGTTCTGATTTGTGATTCAATGAATGTACTAGTGATCTGATTATGTTTACTCAAATATTCTTTGTGATCATTCATATATTTTTCAGCTATTTGCATACGTGTTTTAAAAGCAGTATATCTATAATGAAGTAATGAGTTTTTCTTCTTCGCTTCTTTAAGGGCATCATACATTCGTCCCTTCCTTGGAGTCAAATCTACCCTGCGTCGTACATTTATATTCTTCAGTATGCCTGACTGCTTTTTCTTTCCTGATAAAAAATTTAATTTAACTTAATTAGATAAATGTTTCTAAAGGAAAAACAAATGTGTTCTATAATCATCTTTACCTATGACTTCAGATGTAGAAGTAGAATGCTGAATCATATTTTCAGATATGTCTAAACACATTACACCATCAATACCAACTAAAATACAAGAACAATTGAATTATGGCGAACGCCATACGTATAACTATAAATTCGCATTCGTATTGTTTGCCCGCCGCCGCCGCCGGTCTATCGCTGTACACACCGAACGTGTTACATAATTATTATTCCGCGATAGTAGGTACCACAGAATAGATGAAATCAGAAAGGACACTTAAAGCAAGGGCCGTTTTGCATGTAGTGGGGGGTGGGAGCCGCCATCTTCTTATTTATGCTGTCAGAAAATTTGTTAGGTTATGAAATTAAGTTGTAATGAACACGGGCGACGAAAACTCGCCGGTGACCGGCGCGACTCTAGCGGCCATTTCCACTCAGGGGTCGTTATTACAAATCTAATTGCCGCGTTTTTTTAAATTAAATTATTCACATGGTATATTGTATTCATTTATTATTATACGAATGATGGGACAAAATGGTTTAAAGAATTATTAGTTTAAAACATTATTTCAATACATATATTATACATACAATTTAATAATTGTAAAACAATCTACAAATATGTATTATATGTACACATAAAATAAAAATAAATCATAATATAATATAATAATATAAATATAATAAAGTTAGTTATTCCAATTGCTCTATATCTGATTCTTCATCACTGAAATCACTATCATCAGGCAATATCGTCAAAATTATTGGTTCCATTAAGGCGTCTCTAAGGATTTCTTTTTGGTTATCTAATTCTTGTAATTGTTCGGCATGTCTTACACACTTCTCCCAATCCTCTTTGGTTCCCGCATCTAATGCTTCGTGGGTAAGACGTTCGATATCCACCATCTTGAACGTATTGTTGTTTTTCGCCACTTGACTCTTAACTTGGGCCCATATAAGTTCAATTGGGTTGTATTGGCAACGAGCAACCAGAATAATTGATTTTCTGTTTTAAAGCATTTAATATAAAATTCGCAGTTGGGAGCTCATCTCGATCGTAGAACTCGTGCACCGTTCTTCTAACGACATCTGAATCAAAATCGTCGAGCTCTGATACAATTTTCGCACGTTTGTAGCTTTTGAGTGGAGATTTGAATGATAAAACTGACTTTGATCCATCGGGTTTATCTTCTGAATGTTTTGCTTCAGAACAAATACGTCTTTCAGTGCGCTCTGACAATCCACAAGCTTCGCCGGTCCAATATTTCTCGAACAACGTCATTGATTTTGTTTGAAATTATTGAATCTTTTGTATCTCTACTTGATGTATGAATTTTAATACTAGCTTCCGCATGTTTCCATCTAGTATGAAAATTCACTATTTAATATTTTTTATTTTAAATATGTTATAAGTCATAATTTTTTTACTAACCTTTCATCTGTTGGAATATCTAGGACTGTATTAATTTTATAGTGCTAAATGACATAGTAGTCTTCTCAGTGAGGTACAACTGGACATTTAAGTGTGTAGGAACTATTCACTTCCTTCATTGTTAATGTATTTAATATATCATTTTCAATTTTTCCTTTCGATATCAAATCCATAAAAATATCCTTGTATGATTCCGATTGCTGATATATAAAAATATATAAAATAAAGTAACATTTCAATTGGTATTAGAAATGTGTGTGTGTGTAATATTTTAGAAATAATATTAATTATTACCTTTCCGATCTTGGTCTTTTTACTACTAGTACTAACTTTTGACTCAACAACATTTTTCCTTTTGCTAATTTTTGGCTTGACAGGTACTGAATATGAACTTTCCAGATATTATTTAATAAAATATCAATAATATAAATATAAAATTCTGTTTTGTATCTATTATATATATATATACATATATACAATCAAATGGGAATACTTACATCTTCGTTTGACGAGCTTTCTCCAGTAACATTGGTATATGAAGACTTATTTTTTACCTTAAATAAAAATTTGCGAGTTAAAATTTTTAATATTCTAGTTTTTTAAAACTTATACTAGATCAAAGTATATTACTTGTAATGGAGTCTTGTAACGGTATGAAGCAAAGACGCATCAAGTCCAATAGTTAATTTTGAGATTTAACACTGTCTATAATCACTGTATGTCGACTGTATACAATCTAATAAGACCGTGTGAGTGTGTTAAGTGATCATCGGTTTATGTATTATTGTCAGATAATTAGGTATAAATAAAATAAATGCAGTGTACTCATTTTGTTTTAGGCTTTCCACATTAAATTGAACATAAGGGTTGTTTGATCTGATTACCTATGATAATTTATAATTTTAAATCCTTTTACATTATAGTGAAAAAAAAAAAAAATATCAGTTTGCAGTTTATAATTGAAGGGCTTGCTGCAACAACCAGATAAATCCACTTTTTGAAATTTTCCAGGGCAAAGAAAATTCTTTTTTTAGGCTAAATACTTGTTAAAAATAATTTTATTTTAGTTTGTTTATTATTCTTTGTATAATTATTCACAATATTTTAAACTTTGAACAAAAAAAAAAAAAAAAATTAGGGGTATTATTTGTTTGCCAAAGTGGAGGGGAGCATGGATTTATCTGGTTGTTGCGCTTAAGTGTATTAGTTTTTATATTATTACTTAATTAATTTATTTGTATATCCAATATCAGTAGCATTTTCAATGTTATTCTTATTTATAATTATTAATCATCATATTAAGCCTTCAAATAAGGAATAGTAGGACATATCTGACATAACATTTTGTATAAAAACATTTTATACATAAAACCTATTATTATTGTTTTGTAAATTATGTCTTAAATTAGCACTTTAATAATTTATTTCTTAATTTATTATTGATATATTACCTTCCTTATATAATATAATACTCAAGTAGTGATAACAATAAATAACAATAAAAAATATTTATTTCATACAAATAATAACAAAAAAATATAGCAATAAAATAATAAGGTACTTTTCTTTCTTATTTAAATACCTAAAAAAATTTTATTAATAACATTTCAATATAGTTTATATAATAGTATAAAATGAAATACAATATTTTAGTATACCTAACTTTGGTAAAATGTATTGTGTTATCACAAAAATAATATGTTTTCTCTAAATACAAATAAAAAACAAAAAAATATAGTAATAAAATAATAAGATATCTTCCTTTCTTAATTAAATTAATTAAAAATTAATCACATGGCAATAGTATATAGAACAGTATAAATTAAAATATAATACTTTGGTATAAGTACCTAACTTAGGTAAAATGTATTGCGTTATAACAAAAAATAATAATAATATGTTTCCTCTAAATAACAATAACAATGTTAATTTTACACAAATAAAAACAAAAAAATATAGTAATAAAATAAGAAGACATCTTCCTTTCTTATTTAAATACCTTAAAAAGTAATAACATATCAATATAGTTATAACTGAAATACAATACTTTGGTATACCTAACTTTGGTAAAAAGTATTATTAACATATATTATAATATAGTAATAATAAAAACTTATAATACTATTTTGAAGTCAAAATTATTGCTGTTAGGTATTTGATATAAAATTAAAAATATTAAGTTTAATTTTTTAATATTCATAGTCTGATAAAACTGTATCATCATTGGTTTCTACAAACTGTTCATAAAACCATAAATGTTGAGGGGGAACATATTTTGAAGCCAATTCAAGGACATCTTTTAGTTTTGCAGCTTTAATACTAAGTTTTCCTTGATACAATAATGGGAGGTTTTCCATGGGAAATTTCAATAAGGATCCAGATTTTTCTATTGTATAATGCTCTTTGGCAGTTGAATTGGGAATAACACTACATAACAAACCCTCTTTAGTATATTCAATACAGCGATAAGCCATTATTGTGAACTTGACTTTGTTTGTACTAGTAATATATTTTTTAAAAAATGGTTTTAAGTAATCTGAAAAATTGTATATAAAATTTTGATTAACATTAATCACATGAAATTTTTTGATGTTTGTTTGTTTGACCAGTTCTTGATAAGTTATTGGTAAAAATACACGTTCAATTTTTCTCTTTTTCTGCTCAATCAAACCAAAGCAGCGGTCACATGGCAGGAAACTGTGCCCTGGCTCAGGATACCTTTGAATGATTGTATTTAATCCAAATGCATTTGATTTTATAATAGTGTAGATATATTGAAATAAAGCATTATTCTTAATTTGTGAACTACAGTTATCTGCGAAAAGGTATAATGTCTTTACTCCTTGTTGAAGTAAGTTTTGTAAATAATAATGGAGAAAACTTATAACCTCATTCTGGCCTTTTTTTGCAACTGACTCATCATACATAAAAAAGTAAGCTTGGTTTGTTTTTGCTGAGTGAATGCAAAAATTGTATGACCAAATTTGCCTTTTATAAAACACATCACCACATGGTACATGTGGTAAAGGCATGTTTTGTTGGAAGTCAAACGATAAAACTTCTAAATCAGTATTTTCCTTAGACTCTAGAGATAATCTTTTTAGATCGGCATAAAATAATTCTGCTTTTTTTTGGTGAATTTGTTTTTCTTCAATCAAAGATAATTTAATGTCTGTATTTAATTCAGCATTAATAAAATTGTCTAGTCGATCACATGTTTGGCAAGTGTCTGATTTTGGATTGCCAAACGACAAATTAAAATTATTGTTAAAATATTTGAGAAAATATGGATATTTTACAATAGGTTTGGCTTTTCTTCCATTTATTAATATCTCATAAATGTCAGGTTCATATTTTTCAATATACATTTCATACATTTTGTGTACACTAAGCTCAGCAGATAAATAACGTTTTTCATTGTTATCTTGTCTGCTGTAGTGTGAAATACACTTGGGGAAGCTCTGAATATGTGCCGATAATTGAAATAAAATATTATCAGGTAATTTATTAGGACGTACTGTATGTTTTAAACGCAAATCTTTTGGGCTAGGGATATTTTGTCTTAACTTAGTAAAAACCCTTTCAACTACTGCTTTGCCAATACCAAAAAAAGAGCAAAATGCAGTTTTGCAAACTTTTAATTCATCGGTCCCAAAACGCACTTTATATGAGCAAGCAACACTTCTGTTGGGTTTTTCATTATTTATAGGGCGGCGTCTTAACACATCACTAATTTGTATTAAGCCAGATAGAAAGGTATCTTGCTTCTCTTTATCAGCAATATTGTTGAACATATTTATAAGCAAATGTTTTTGTTCATCAGTCACAGCCTCGAAACATTGTAACTTACATTTACAGGGGGGTCCTGTTACTCTTCTTTTTATAATTTTATTTCTCAAACTTACACATTCTTTACCTTGAGCTCGAAGTACTTTTGTAACATTTCTTTTCCATATCAGTGGATTACTTGACCTTTTTTTGCCCTTTCTAATATAACTTTCTTGTTCATTGTTCTCTGTATTGTCCTCTACTGCATCTAAATTATTATTTTCCATATTACCTTCACTGTTCTCTATGTTGTTATCTACTGCTTCTAAATTATTATTTTCCCTATTATTTTCAGTGTTCTCTATATTGTAATCTACTGCTTCTACATTATTATTTTCCTTATTACCTTCATTGATCTCTATATTGCCATCTACATCTTCATCATTTTCGGAATCACTTAATAGTGGAAATATTCCCACAAGCAAATCATCATTTACATTCTCACCTAGAGAAAAATCTGGATCAAGGAAATCGTCATCTTCATCGGAGTATTCAAATGAATCATTTAAAGCGTCGTTAATATCATCGTCATTCATTATAAAATACAAAAACGTTAACAGTTAAAAAGGTATAAGCAGTAAGAACTAAACGAAACGTTATTAACAGTGAACAAGTAACAAATTAATAAAGATGAACATTTTAAACGAAACTTACGAAACTAAAAGTAATATAAACGATATTTTGTATAAGTGATAACTGATAAATGATATCAAAAAAACGTGCGAATTACAGTGTGCCCATATAAACGCAACAACAAGATAAATCCGGATTTATCTGATTGTTGCATGTGTTTTGTAAAACAAGATAAATCCATTTCTATAATAACTTCTTTGTCAATAATAGGATTTATCTGATTGTTGCATCTGTTTTTAAAGAAAATTTTTCTTTATTAATTTCCGTCAAAAAGTGATATTCCAAAAAAAGTGGATTTATCTGGTTGTTGCAGCAAGCCCTTCAATTAGTCTAATATTATGATGCGAATATCCCATGATTATTTTATTTTCAGGTCATCAGAAGGGACTATTTTCAGGTATAAAACACAGAATTTCTTAGCTTATCGTCATCAGTTCAAGCAACAGTAGTCCACAGCAGTTCCAAGAGCAGTCAGCAGCAGAACAGCCTTCTTCACCAACCAACAGTTAGCTAGCAGATTACCAGACCTCTTTAACAAATAGCAACCAGTTAAAACAACTCTAACAAGCCATCATACTTAGAAAAAATACTTCAATTTCCACAAGCTATGTAAGTACTACTATTTTTATATTGTTATTTATTAAATTTAACATCTAAACTTCTTTTTTAAAATAAAAAAAATTAAATAAAATAGAATAATAACAATGTATCGTTGTAATGATAATATAGCTTTATAATATTACTATGAACGTTATATCATGTAGGTGTATGACTTTAGATAGAAATTCTATCTAAAACCGTGCTTACAAACTTAAAGATATTTCATCAGATCAGATTATATAAAATAAAAACCATTACAATAAAAGTAGTGGTTTAAGACGTTTTTTTAACTCTCACTTTTAGTTACTATCATAGGTATAAGCTGTTTTATTTTTTTGTTAAGTTATGTTTAAATAAAATAAATAATACGTTATAATTATGCGACTATCCACGGTATAGAAAACTGTTGTATCATAGATTTATATAGATAAGATAAAACATCAGGCTTATCAACTATGGATAGTGTTAAAATTTTTTGAGGTTTCAAGGGTTCCTTATTATTGATAATTATTGTAACTTAACCACAAAATCTGACTGCACTAGTACACACTGGTGTACACAGCCCGGTGTACACTGGTCGATACCGTCAGGGTATAGACACTCTGTGTATTGGCAAAATCGGGTGACTGTGGCCTTGAGCACGGTCTCTAAGGGGGCGTGGCATATGTTATCATTTAAATAAATCATATCAATATTATCAGTCCACAGAATAATAATACAATATATTATTATTATTATTTCATTAACAATAAACCAATTTAAAATTACATTATAGTTTTTAATTTATATTAAAACAAAATCCTTATTCATTTTACCAAAATTTAATATTGATATACTTAAAATATGAAAAATAAATTATTTATCTTTATTAATCGTTTATAAAAATTCCGTAACAAAGAGGGATACACGTTGCTAACGTTCTATCAGATTACGGATACGGTACAACTTTTATAGTCCAATACATCATACCATAGGGATACGTAAACCCTCACAGCTGATCGAGTGTCTATTCTATATTGTTCTGTGATACCGTGTGGTCAATTATGTTATTCAGTGTTCACATATAGTGTGTACTAATACAGTCAGATGGGAAAAACGCTATTACGGTTATCTATACCTAGTTTTATCAACGTTAAAATACTTTCGCTGATTATAAATATTTGCTATTGATAATGTGATAGTTGTATTATACGTATAATATTATTTTACGTAAAAATTTTTTAATTTAAAAAAAAAATATTCAATAATGTTTACTGTCTGTATAAAAAAATATGTAATATCCTAAAACGTATATAATATATAAATTTAAATTATTTTTGTTGCTTTTACATCTAGTAATGTGGCTTCACTAGTAATTAAAAGTATGTTTCTATAACATAAATGCTATATTGTTTAGTTTGTTTGAGTTTTTTTATTTAGCTCTGAATAATATAATAAGTAATTTAGATTTCTATATTATATATTTTATACTAATGTACTTAGGTAAAAATTATAGATAATGAATTATTGGCATTCATTTGATTATTGCTGTGAACAAATTCAATATTATGAAGAACAGATTAAAACATTAACAAAGATGATTGACGAAAATAAAACTAAAGAGAGATATGAATATAAAGATCTTAAAAAAAAAATTAAAAACCTCAAATTCACTATTTATTTAAGTAGAACAAATTCTAATCCAAATTTGTCTTATATAAAAGAGTTAAATACAAAATTAGTTTTATTAAGAGAAAATAAAATGGATATATTATGTCGAAAATATTGTGATTTATATATCACGAATTTTCGTAGGCGAGAAATTTGTTTCGGTAGAAGGTTAGATTTTCTTACGACAGCAAAATCTAAACGTGAAAGGTTTCGAACAGGTTAAATTTTAGATTCTGAGTGAAACGATGAATGTATTGATTTTACAATGATGTGTTTTTTTTTTAATTTTTTTTTTTTTGTGTGTCTGTGTACACTATAAGTAGTCGAAATAACGCTTCGATTTTCAACTTCAGTATCTTGTTCGATTGGAAAGTGAACATCGTTGGTGCATTGGGGAGGTCAAAATTTAAATTTCCCAGTAGTTTTCAAAAGCGCCGGGAAAAACAAAATAAAAATTAAGGAAAAACAGGAATTTTTACCCAAAATCGGTTTTCCAAAAAATCGATTTTGGTTTTTGGTGTAACTTTAAAACAAATAACCGTAGATACATGAAATTTTCAGTGGTTGTTTATATTTGCATTTTCTATACACGATAACATTTTCAAAATATTTTGATATATTTTGAACTGTTTAGGGACATTTTCAGTTTCCAATTTTATTAGCTTTTTTTTTTATGAATATGAATAAAAATTTATTTGTCGAGTAACAATACTTGAAAATTTAATACAAGGATCCTACTATATTGTTTCAAAGACAGATGAAAAATATTAAAAATCGTTTGTCACAGTTTTTTTTTAAGCCTTTAAAGTTCAAAAAATGACAAAATGTGGAAAAATCACGAAAATTTGCAAATTATTTCGAGTTAGAAATTCATAAAAAATTTTCTTTTAAAATCTAAGATATGAAAATGTAATACATGATTCCTTATAAGATTTCCTACATTTGTCAAAAAAAAAAATTCTATAAGAAAGTCAAATTAAATTTTTATGAGCGTTTGAAATTCAAATTTTTACAACATTGGATATTCACTCGATTTCTCATGTGATTTCCTTATTTTGTTGTAATTCAAAAACGAATTACTGTAGATACATGAAAATTTCACTGAATGTTTATATTAGCATTTCCTATACACCATACAATTTTGAAAATATTTTGACTCTTTTTGAGCCGTTTACGGACATTTTCAGTTTTCAATTTTTTTAGTTTTTTTTTTCTATAAATATTAATAAAGTTTTATCTGTTGGGGCAAAAAATGTGAAAAATTAATACAAGGCTCTTGATATATTGTTACAATAGCAATTGAAAAATATCAACCATCGTAATTGATAAATTATAAAATGTTCAGTTTTTATAGCTAAGGATTGAAAATTTAAAAAAAAGATTCTCATAAATAGTTCTTACTGTAGCCAAAAATCTAAAAATATATGAGCACAATTATTTTTTACAGACATTTTAAGTTCAAATTTGGGACGAAATTACATATTAAAAAACCTAGCATACCTATTTTAGTTATTTTGTTGTGAGTGTATAATACTATTCGTGGGTACTTGAAACTTCTAAAGTACACTAAATTATATATCGGTGATAATATCAGGGTTTGTTATTGATGTATAACGTGTTATAAGTACCTAGTGGATATTGTGATATGATTAATTTGGAATTTATTATAGGTCAATTTTTTTTTTAATACCATAGATATGTATATAATATGTCTTAAACCTAGACTGACATACCGTCTTCGCTCAGAATCGTTTTTCTTATACAATGATATTGTATCATTGAATTCAAATTTAATACCATCCATTATACAGTGACCCACTTATAACCTACTGTACAGCAGAGCGACATCCACTTACCCACCTTTTTTTATAATTTATTATGAATAATTAGTAAATATATTATTAGTTTATAATTATTATTTTATTATATTTTTGTCATTATTTTATTACTAGTAGATAGCTTACAACTTCTATAACAATTTTCTAGAATTAAAAAAAAAAAAAAAAAAAAATGGAGTCACAAAATTCATTAATCTGGGAAGAAATTAACTCAATATTAAAACAACTGAAGGAAAACAACCGTGGTATGGATAACGACGAAGCCACTTTCAAAAACAAAATGAGAGATATCAACGTCAAAATACAGAACGCGTCTTTGAAAGCTACCCGGAGAAAGTTAACCCTTTGAAGCACAAGAATTTTTTTTTTGATTTTTTTAATTTTGCCGTTGAGTTTCTATTACACCATAGGTATTATGAAAAAAATAAATGATTGTTGACGATTACGCCATCTACCAGTCAATTATAACAACAAAGAGAATACAATACTATAGTGGTAGTAAATTTATACCACCGTGCAAGAGTAGGATAATTTTTTCTAAAAGCGGTATAAAATAAATACCCCATGTTTCAAAGGGTTAAAAGAAAAAAAAACAGTTATTAATCAACGATTATAAAAATTTATTATATATAACATACGTCTGTGAAAAAAATATACAAAAAGGATTGAATGTATTATATGATAAATTAAACGATATATAACGAATTATATAACGAATGATATTGTAGTAAATTATAACCTATATTATTCTTGAGCATATAATATCTGTCGAAGGATAATAAATGTTTTTAATGCTCAATACTGTTCAAGTTTTATAATCGTTCAAATAAAACTAATTTAATAAAAATTTTACGAAAAGTGTTTCAGATTAAAAAAAAAAGTATACATTTTCTAACATAATGAGCGTATAAATAATGTATCAGTATTAATAGTCAGGTTTGAAATTCTATGTAATTTTCAGAATCATGAACTCAGAAATAAACATTATTAAAAGCAGAATTCTAACAATAGAACAACAGATGCTTGCAAATAGACGCTATTGTATAGAGAAACAGAAAGCATTTCGAAAAGTATTTGTAAAAATTAATAATAGTATAAAGAAACATTTAAATTTAAAAATTGAGTTGATAAATGAACATAATAGATTCCAAAACTATTCAAGTGAATGTAAAGCTGATCTTCGGGAACGGTTAACAGAACTAAGCAATCGGTTAAGAGAATGATGTATGGCATCTTCATTTGCATATGATGAACAGGAAATATTAGATTTATTCAAGTTAAATAATTCTAATTTTATACTTAAAGAAATTTATTTAAGTATAAACGTGAAATCAGTACCGACACACTATTGTTCCTTGTCTTGTTTGCGAATTGACAATGAAAACAATAAATTGTCAAATCCATTTAAAGGGATTTCACCGTCAATTTCAGACTATTAAAGGTCTGCAAACATATAGTCAATTAAGTCGGTGTGCGAAATGTCGTGCATATTTGACTATTATTCATTTTAATACATCATATCCTGTAATAAATGTACCATTTTACTCATACAAGTTAAAATCGACAGAGATAGATATGATTCATATAATTCATTCCATTTATAATTCAGGTAAATATAATTACTATAAACATAGTTTGATTTCAGTAATAGTTTCTCAATCTTATGATTATACAAAAATTTCAGATTTTGAAGATATTTATAAACATGTGTACGTTATAGAGTAAGCAAATTACTTGATTACACACACATTTGGATCACGGATGATGAAAGTATGATAGTAACATAGTGTTATTGCTGTTATTAACAATATCTGGTCACATGAACATAATCACTGAGTGAGTTCACACACACCCACACACACACCTATACATCCCTTTGATATGGTGAGAGATCCATATGGAAAACATGACCATATGAGATCCACTCGTTAAAAGCATTATATTTGAATTGGAGTAAGCGCAAGACTTTTTTTAAAATACGTAAATCATGATACTAAAATAAAATTACAGAAACACTTGATTTTATTTTAAATCGTCTTATATCCTTGCGAGCTCCAGTGTGTGTGACTATTAATTTAGTATAGGTAGTTAAAGGGATCCAAAAACTAAAATCATCAACATACGAGATCTGTTTGTGTTTCGAATTTTTAAAGTACAGTACTTAGTAGATCCATACACTGTTGTCAAATTTAATCAATTATGATAATTGTTATATGATTTTGTCAGATGGATCTCACAACATTGATTTAGATAGGTAGAAAAAACCATATTTTATAAAATAAATAGGTCTACTGACTACTGTAATGGATAATTAGGTACCTATCTAATATTATCATGTAACAAGGTTTAAATAAATACATTAACTTTGATATATTCTAATATCAATAAATGTTATTGTTATGAATAGGTAGTTATGATACTAATTAGAATCTATTATTATAAGCTTCTCTACCTATTTGGCGTACCTAATGGTAGGGGGGCTAACGGACTAAGGACCGTATTATTATTATTTTTTTTTTAAAAATATTTATCAAGTTTCAACTGTCGTCAACTAGGTAGTAAGTAGTGCCTGTGATTTTAAACGTGTAATTTAAATACACGTGTACACGAAGTACGTGTGATTAACATACACGTGTAATTAAAAAACAGGTGTATACTGTATATACACGTGTATTAAAAAAAAAAATAATTTTTGTTACAAATTTCAGTAAGTTTATACAACTATACTTGTGTTTGAGTTCGTAAAATTGATAGCTGGAAAAAATGAAATCAAAAAAAGCATAGATATAGGAGTAAACAATGTATTAGTATTGTTTAATAGAAAAGTATTAACTTTACTGGTATGAATTACATGAAAGTATAACGAGATTTCTTTATTAAATAATAAACAGAACAAGAAGAATCAATGTAAATAATATAGCATAACAATAACTAATGTAAATAAAAAATTAAATAAATAATATAATTTTAAACTAAACATATCATCAAAAAAACAAATAAGTAGGTAAAATGTTTAAATAAATAAATAATAATTAGTTATATCACAAATCAAAAACAATTATTAACCATATTATGAATAACTTTAATAATAATTAAATATTTAACATGTTTTATTCAATAAATATTTATTCTGGTGTAAAAAAACAAGCATATTTACGTTTTCAGGTGATAAAGATGCTCTTTTACGAAAAACGATGTTATCGGCCGTCGAAAAACATCTTTCTGAACTTACCGATGTTGCAGGAATTGTTAAATATTGTTTTGCAAGGTCACCAATTACAGGATATTTAGAAAATCTAGTTTTCCACCATTCTTTGGGGTCCAATGTGAACCTTAATTGTGGTTCTGCTATATAATTTTCAAACTGTTTCGTCAAATCATCATCATCATTAAATTCAGTCTCATAAATATATTCCAAAGCATTACTATGGCATTTTTGCTGGTCTCCTAAATTATTCAACGTCTTATCATTCAAATTTATCATACTTAAAATTTTTATTTTACTCTCGAGCGAATTTCCTCACGCGTGGATAACGCCTCATGCTCCAAATATTTGTACCTAGGATCAAGGAAGGATGCAATTTGTTCAGGCAATATTTGTTCTGTTGGGCTTAAGTCGAGAAAGAATCGGCGTTCAAGTTCCAACACTATTGTTTTTTTAAAACTCTGAATGACAGTAACTTTATCATCAGTATGTAATAAATGTTTTTCTATAATTTTTTTTCTTATCATCGAAATCGGAGAGTGTTTTTCAGTACATAAAACAGTTGTGGTCATATGGATAGGCTTAAGAACCTTAATAAGTGAATCAATCAATGTCCATTCAGTTTCTTTTATTTCTAATTTTTCAGCTAATGATCGATTTGTAATATTTTTATCTGTTAAAACATTAAAAATAGCACATCTATTTAAGTATAAACGTTCTAACATCAAATATACGGAGTTCCACAGCGTCTTACAGCTTTGAAGTAATATAGTTTTTGACAAGCCACTTTGTTCTTGTCTTTTTTCCAGAGATTGTACTGCTAACGCTGAATGCTTAAAGTGTCCAACAACTTTATTACACTGGTTGATTATGTCACTTATACATTCGATTTTCATAGCATGATTTACAGCTAATTGTAAGGTATGAGCTGCGCATTTAATATTAAAAATTTGTTTTTCGTTCGTTGATGAAATTAATGGAATGGAATTGACAATATTTTTTGCATTGTCAGTAACCACGGCTAACACTTTTTCTGAAATATTCCATTCATGAAAAATATTATGTAGTTGTTCCGCAAGATTTTCCGCAGTATGGCGTTTATCCATTTCAATGGTGGTTAACATCAACGATTTTGGGCCCCAGTTTGAGTCAATTATATGAGCAGTTACTGTGATGTAAGATTCTTGCGCTATGGAGGTCCAGCAATCTGAAGTGCAAGAAATACTTTGGGAATCACACAACTCCATTTTAATAAACTCTTTGACATTTGATGTCAACGCTATTAATCTTGATCTAATAGCTTCTTCTTTACATGGTTTGTAATTGGGTTCTATCACAGCCATGAAATTTCGGAATCCTTCACTTGAACAGAATGATATTGGTAGCTGACTTACAGCAATTAGTTTAGCTAGAGATTTGTTTATAATTTCGTTGCTTTCGCTAGAATACGGACGACCATCGTTTTTATTTTCAAACTTTCCTCGTCTTTTCCTCTTTTTCTTTTTCGGTACTTCATTTGAATTGTCATTTTCACCATCAATAATACGTAATGTATCAGCATTTTAAGTATCTAGAGCTTGTTCGTCGTGTATTTTTGACCTGTTATTCAAACATTAATATGTTGATATTATATGACCTATCGATTTTTTTGAAAAATAAAATTTTTAATTTAAATTAAATTTGCCGTTTATTACACATAATAAGTATACTTCTATATCCAGTCCGTACTTATACTTTTCAATAACAATACGCGGGCTGAGAATGAAAAACATTGAAGAACATGCGTTCGTATTGCGTGGTGCGAGAGGAAAAACGGGCGTTGTAGTACAACGTAACGGATGAGGAAAAATTAACGGTGTTATGGACGTCTCCACAACCGAGTTTGGTCGCTAATAAAGAAACCCCTGTCTGTATGCTATACGCAGTATGAGATATAGTAATAGTATAATATAGAATAGTGTGTAAGCATATTAATGTGTGAACAGACAGCGAGACACGGTAGGGGCTCGCTCGGGCTCAAAACTGTCCACACAGCGAATTCCCTTAGTCCGTGTGACTCTTTCTGTTCACACATTAATATGCTTACACACTATTCTATATTATACTATTACTATATCTCATACTGCGTATAGCATACAGACAGGGGTTCACAACACCCCCTGGACTACATAAAACATGGGGGTCTAATGATCACCATGTTTCAACTCATCCGTGAGTTCCGATGCTCTGAAGATTTTAGAATTAGGATGGGAGTGTGTGGGTTGCACACACTCTGCTACTTCCGATCTGTATAGTCGGGGTAGATTACACTTGTCTTTAATCAACATGTACAGACTTACAACTATTATTAAAATGACAATAATATAAACTATAATAAAATGATGGTCTGGATTTACAAATATTTTGGTATCGTTGTACAATTTAGATAATTCTTTCAGTTTTTCAGCATCTTTAGCTAACTGATTAAAATTTTTGAAATATTTATTACTATCAATTTGCTCGGGAACATGACTGTTAATTATTTCCGGTATTTTTAATAATGCGTGCAGCTTCGGATTTTCTGGAACGAAATCTCTATGAATTTTGGATGATAGGGTTCTCGATGGTGTTAAGATCGGATTTTCTGTATATATAACGCAATTATCGGAAATTTGAATTTTTCCTGTACCCGAGAGTAGGATTCTGCTAGAGTTTTGTGCGCATGTTACTGTCACTGCCTGAGAAATGCAATAATATAACCACGCGTTTTGCAGATAAAGCTTATGCCAGATTGTAGTATTGAGGTTCATATATTTGAAATTACACGCTCCTATCGTTTGATACGGGGAATTGTACAAAGATACCTCACAATTTTCCTGATGTTTAAATTTACTGATAGCCTCAGGATTTACACATAACTTAAAAGAGAACAATGTTTCACATTTTTCATACTGATCGTCGGTTGGACTAAAATGATATTCGTTAGTATCGCTTATTGCCATGTACTGAGCTTGTGGTTCAATGATTACTATATTACCTTTATTTGTAGGTATCGGAAGTGGAATATTATGAAACAGATTAAACCGAAGATTTGACAATAAGGGTATATGGGTCACAAATACGAGATTCTGTTGGATGTACACTACGCTTAACTTGGATGTTCGGAATAATTCAGGAATGGATAAATGAGATTCAGTTATAGGTAGCTCTAGTGTAGACGGTAATGTCAGTTGTATTTGCTTAAGTTCGTGAATCAATTGAGATGGGGGTAGACATTTGTATGCATCAATCCATTTAATGCTGAGTTAACAATGGATTGGAGGTTTTGAGTTTTGTTGATTTGACATACAGGACATTTCTTTATATATTTCCGGATTTGTGTTTTCATGCCCTGCCATTGGTACTGCTGTGCAATTTTATTGTACATACGCGTTATACCTTGATGTCCCCCAAGTGGATTTTCATGAAATTCCTTGATAATCTGTAGTTTGTTATCTGCCGTTAACTCATCGTGGGTGTATATCTGAACATACACAGGAGAGTCACGGAATATATACCTTAATATATTTCGTACGACTTCCCACTTCAGTCCATCTAGTTCGCAGCCTAGACGTGGACAAGCGAGCTGTGTAACTTTATACTTGGCACAGATTGATTTGAGGTTCTAAAGACTTTGAAATAGAATTTCATAACTTGCTTTTTGCCAGAAAAATTCTTTTGTGAGTATATAAGACACCTGATGATTGTTCACATTGATTGTTGCAATCTCTGTTATTTGACATTTTTGTCGACGAAGTTCATTAACTTTTCCAAATCGGTTTCGGAATTCGAATGCGATTCCTTTCCTCTATTTAAAATCTGCTGATACAGAATGAGTTAATGAGATTCCAGTATCTAAAGAAAATAGATCTCCTGTTCGCTCGGCAATGTTCTTCGTAGTACCCAGTTTAGTTTCGTCTGCTTTCAGGAATGCTTGATAACCAGTATCACCTTCGCCCTTCGATTCTGAGTCTGGATGTTCGTTATCTACTGATTGTAAAGAGGTTCCTTGAGTTTCTGGAGGTTCTGACTGATTATGATGACTGACATAAATCGCTCCATCTATAAGGAAAGTCCATTTTTTAACAATTAGGTCAGTGGCTTTGCGATCTGCCCATAGTTTCTGATGAATCTTCTGTAGTAACCTGATAGTCCTAAAAAAGACTTGACCTCTTTCACATTTCTTGGAATTGGAAATTGTTTCACACAACTTATCTTCTGAGGATCTGGCTTGACTCCTTCGTCAGTGATTTGATGTCCAAGATAGTTAACTTCTTTTCAGAGAAATTCACACTTCAATGGTTGAAGTTTGAGATTGTATTGCCGGAGTCTCTGAAAAAACTCGGTGATTTTTTGTGAATGATCATTTGGGTCCTTTGCATAGATGATGATATCATATAGATATACGTATGCTTTGATTCCATTTATACCGATTAACACTTTATTCATGAGCCTCTGGAAGGTCCCTGGAGCTCCCTTCAAACCAAATGGAATTCGTTCAAATTCGAAATGTCCACGGTCTGTAGAAAATGCCGTTTTGCTACGGTCGGAGGGATTCATCGGAATTTGGTGGTACCCATGGGCTAGGTCCAAGGTACTGTAATATTTTGACCTCCCTAATTGGTCTAAAATATCCACGATATTCGGAAGTGGGAAAGCATCCAATATCGTGACCTCATTCAGTCGGCGAAAATCCACGCAGACACGGAATTTAACCTGGCCATTGACGTCGGGTTTCTTCGGGACTACTAGGAGTGGAGCGTTCCAAGGTGATTCACTAGCTGTAATCACACCTTCCCGTTCGAGGGCCTCCATTTGGTCCGTAATTTCCTGTCGATGCCTTTGTGGTAAACGGTAGGGTTTTACGTGAATTGGCGATACCGCTTCTGAGGTTTTGATCCTGTGTGTGACCGCTGTAGTTGCTGACACTCGATCTCCTTCTAAAAAGAATATGTCCGAGTAGTCTTGACAGATGGCCACTAATGATTCCCTTCCTTCAGAATTCAGAATTCTAAGTGCTTCTTCCAATCTTTTCAGTCGACTACTGCTTGCATGAGGTTCTTCTTGTAGATCCGTGACTTGTACCGAATGTATCAGAGCTTCCCTGAACTGCTCGTGGATCAGTTCCTTTAAATTGGGCATCCTTAGCCTTATTGCTTGTTCGGTTGGGTTGATGAGTGTGGCTAACACCCTTTTGTACTTTGGTTACAGAGTTACTGCACATGACTGATTTCGTGACTTCTTGACATTCGATGAGGATGATTTCATTTTCTGCGCGATTCTCTGCATCTATTCCTACGAGGGTTTCAGTGCGGGGTTGTAGCACTATTTCAGTCCCGCCAGGAATGATAACTTCATTAGTCTGATAATTCAGAATATTTTTATTTTCTACCATAAATGGTCGTCCAAGGATACCATCGTTTGGGATTGGGAATGTAGAATGGATTACTTGGAACATTGCAACTATAATTTTATCCTCGATACATAGTTCCAGTTGTGTTTGTCCTAGCGTGTGTACTATCTGGTCATTAATGCCCTTCAGGTGATATATGACATCTTCATGCACGATTGTCTGATCCGCGAGAGACGAGATTTTTATTAGATTGAGATCACTCCCAGAGTCTAAGAGTAGCTTCGATTTTTTGCTGATGGTCTGTTCAATGTGGCAGGTTAAATGATCGCGATTTAATTCTGCTTTGAAGTAGAGGATTTGTCGTTGCCGGTGTTTTTTAACTCGCTCACCGGGCGCCCACCGCTGGCGGCCGGTTGCTGCTGGTTTTCCTGCTAGTTGCCTTCCTTTTTAGAGTTTACATAATTCCTTTTTCGGCAATCTTTCAGCAGGTGTCCTGGCTTTTTATAATGTTTGCATTCGATGCTTCTAATTGGTGCCGTTGTGGAAGAAGGTCTTGAGTTTATCGTTGTCGGTTTGCTCCTGCAATCCATATGACCAACTTTATTACAGTGAAAACAAGTCGGTTTTTTCTTGGATTGGTGTGGCCCTCCATATAACTTCTTTGTCGCTTCTTGTGAGTTTCTGACCCGTTCTTCTTCCCTTGCTGCTTGTATGGCCTTGTCTAACGTTAGCGGATTCCTGGCCTTGATGAAGTCTTTTAGAGGTCCTAGTCCCTCTACGAATACTTGGATGCTTTGCTTCTTGATACTCGCTCCTAGCGCTTGAGCTACCTCCCAACTGTGCCCACTGGTCTCTTGCTCTATGATAAGTGTTTGGAGTTGCTCAATCCTATTTGCGTAGTTAGTTACATCTTCTCCGATTTTCTGCCTTGTTGAATACAATTCTGAGAATAGATAAGTGGTCGTCCTCTGCGGTTCCAGTGCAGATTTCAACGCTTCCTTTAGTTCAGGCCAATGTTTTATTTCCTTAAACTTGACTGCCTGACGGGCTTTCCCTGTCAGTCTAACTTAAATACGTTGGAGAAGTCGCCCCTTTACAAGGACATGTGCACATGCTAACGAAAACTCACATTTTTCCAAGAATATTTCCAATTCCTCTTGCTTGTCTCCACTGAACGAGCCTGGCAAGAATTTTAGAGCGGCCTCCAGTCCTATTGTCTCTCCTCTTGATCCGAATGAATATCGTACACCGGATTGATCTGGATTTTCTTCAATTAATTGAGGATTTGATATCGCTTGAGTGTCTGCATTTGATGTTGCTTCAGAATTTACCATGATGCTTTGTTGGTTATTACCGGTAACACCCTGTGTTAGAGCTGTCTCCTGAGTGCTTGGATTCATGGTTTGGTCACTAGAGTTTAGAGGAGGGGAGGGTATATTCTGATTTAAAAGATTTTCTTCAATTGATTGGTCTAGGATATTAAGATTGAGTTGATTTTCTGCGTCCCCCAAAACGGTATCTACTTCCCCCAAAGTTACGGAGACGTTATGTATTAACTCTGAATTATGGTCTATTAGAACGCCAGTTCTGATAAAGATGTCATTAGTACTGATATTCCCAATAGAACGTTCGGATGTCGGATTTTCTGCATTTGAGAATCGTATTGGTAAACTTACACGAGGGGTAGGGCTTGGCGGTACTATTGGAATATTTGATTCGTTATCTGAATTTGGGTCCGAATCGTTTTTCCCTGTTTCGCTCATTGACTACTTAGCTACTTGACTGATACTTAACGAATTGTTATTTTTATATATAAAAGTGTGTGTGTTTACATGCAATTGTATATATATGCTAATGCTAACTACGATATTAATATTATGTTAATACAATACCACAGATTTTCAATTTTGAATCATACAGAAAGAAATAATAATAATAATAATAATAATAATAATAAAAAAAAAATAGATAAGAAGAAAAACGTACTTATCAATTAGTACGGAGTGTAGAACTAATGATTTATCAAGATATGGTTACAGTTTCTTTTTTTTTCTTATTATTATCAATTTATTTTTTTTTTTACTTACAGTATCGCAGTTACAATGATCCTTGCCATGTTTTTTTTTTATATTTACTGATTTTTAACACTTCTACGAGATGCTCGGGATTGCTCGGGATGGTCTGCACTGATGTTCTGCTTGGCTTGAATTGAATTCCTTGTCTGTTAACGACGACTTTCCTCTTCGACTGCGCTTGTGGAATCGAAGTTCGCTAGCCCCGAAACTGCTGCCGCGGGGACCACTACACCCTGTAGTGGGTTTCTATGATAATACTAATATAGTATAATTTTATTTCACGCGTGACGCATCTATGAACACGGCGCACTCGTGTAGTATATTTATATAAATAATATACACTACTATAGCGACGGCCCGTGCTGAATATTGACAAAAACGGAGATCGCGCGTAATATTAGCGTATATGATAATAAGATATATATACGTAATATGACGGCGGTGGCCAACACTGCTTGATACCACTAGGCGGCGGTATTTGTTTATTAACACGACGTTATGGCGGCGGCTATATTCCGTCGGCACTATATTATAATATATATATATTATATATGCGGCGGCGGCACAGATGTTCGGTTTCGTACACACGGCGAATGTGTGCGAGTGCGTAAGTGAGTATCGTCCGGTTCGGCGGCACTATCGACACGGCTGCGACGGCGGCGCGTGTATTATGATTTTTGAATTATGAGTCGTTTACGTGTGTGTGCGCTCTACAATAAATTGACGTTCGGTTTCAGCGGTACCTCGGACAACGGCGATGATGCTCGTATTTCGGATTCGCGTTCGTGTGCGTGCGTGCGCTATTAACCATTCGTTCGGGCGGCGGTACTGCGTGTTCCCTCTCCTTGTCTTGTACGCTGGAATTTCTGTATACCTCGATGTTTTGGATTTTCTTCTTCAGATTTTCTTCTTGTATTTAATTATATTATAAGCATAGATTTACTTTAACTCGAAATCACACGACATTTACTAACTTATTGTTTAACGAACTGGAATCTACGGATCCCACCGCTGCCACCAAAAATGTTATGGACGTCTCCACAACCGAGTTTGTTCGCTAATAAAGAAATACGTGGTGTATGAGTTATCACTAATACTTTATTAATATAATCAATTTTAAAAGAAATTTAGTTGTACAGAATACTTATTAGACTCAAGTAATTTAACAGACGTTCTGCTCGATGGTCTGCCAGTTCTACACTGTCTATTACACAGACAGCGAGACACGGTAGGGGCTCGCTCGGGCTCAAAACTGTCCACACAGCAAATTCCCTTAGTCCGTGTGACTCTGTCTGTTCACACATTAATATGCTTACACTCTATATTATAATATTACTATATCTCATACTGCGTATAGCATACAGACAGGGGTTCACAACAACGGTGTCGGAGACAGTGTCACGGATAAAAGTATCGGGTACGACGGTTACGTAAAAACAGACCGAGCGTCGGCCGCCGCCTAGGCGCGAACACATTGTGACCAACCGTCTTACAGTAGAACCGACGGCAAACGGAGTTTATGTGGCGCCGGTTCACATATAAGCATACCATACATTGCTAGAGACCCATAGCCAAAGCGCGAGCTCTGATTGGTTGTATTTGACTGGTGATAACAATTCAAATTTGGAACACTGATAAGTGATAATTGATTAATGATTATGATACTTACTTTGATATTCTAGTCTTAAAATATATTATCTGTTTTCAATTTGTTTTCTTCACTTTGTAGTCTAAAAATTAAATGTGGATCCAATTAAGACTGTTAATTAAGTTTATATATTTAAAGATTTTGTATAATATTAATATTAGCACTACTTATATGGTATTTATTTAACTATCGTTGAAGTGGTAGTTATTATCCTAGTAATTGTATAATTACTAATTAGTTATAATTAACTAATATTTAATAACTTATTTATTGGCAAGCTACTTGTTAGTAGACCATTCAGTATTTATTTACACACCAAGATAATTTCTATTAAAAACATTCAGTTAAAATACCCAAGACTCCATTACAAAGATATAATATACTGTAAGTAAACAAAATTGAAAACATATCAAAAATATTAAAAATACTTTCATAAAGTAGTTAAAAATTATCTTGAAATACAAAAATTAATAAAATATAGGTTTCCCAGTCATAGTATTAGTGTAGTTAATAATAATAATAATTCAAAAATTGAGGCCAGTATTATGATAAAAAATGAAAAAAAATTATAATTACAAATAATAATAATAATAATAATAAAAATACAATCTCCCTTAACATAATTAGTACTACACAAATAATAATTTAGATAATTCAAAAATAAAAGTCAGTTATAACATTTAGTAAATCAAAAACTATAGTACAAATTTTTGATAATGATCCAGGGCTCTTAGCATTTAGCTGATTTGAATTTATATTAAGTCCTAAATTTCTTTTCCCTTTTTTGGGAGGATTTTCACATTTGAAGGTCTTCCTCCTAATAAGCGTTTGCTTCCCCTAGTTACTATGTATTGTTTGTTAATAAATAATGAACACACATTTAAAGTAATTATTTAATACATTTATTTTATAAATTGTTTATATTTTAAAATCATACAAGTGTTATGGCTTAATTTTACAACGACTTAACTTTTGTATTATTACCCATTGACCAATCTGTAAAAATGTAGAATTAATTTTTATTTTACAAATATAACACATATTAGGAACCTGTGAAAAAAAACTATTTAATACATTTATTTTTATTAGTCAGACATAATTTAAATTATTTATATTTTAAGAGCTTACAAGTGTTATGGCTTAACTTTACAACGACTTAACTTTTATATTATTACCTATTGACCAATCTGTAAAAATGTAGAATTAATTTTTATTTTACAAATATAACAATTAGGTATTAGGAACCTGTAAAAAGAACTCATTACAAAAATGAATTTACAAGATATACTCACAATAAAAATTAAAATAATAATAGGATAATATATCAACAGAGATGATCTGGAAGAATTCACTAATTCACATGCTAAACAAAAAAAAAACAAAAACATTAATTTTAAGCTTAATTGTATAATGTGAATACCTTAATTAATGGATCTTTCTTCCTTATAGATACTGTGTCCAGTTTAATAACAGCTTTTAAGCTTGCTGGACACTCTGCAATTTTGGACAAGCCTTTTTGGTTTGCTAATGCACTAGGCTTCTGAAAAGCACTGTGTTGACAAACAAACTTTTTACTGAAAAATGTTCAAATTATTTTAGTTGGGATTCCTATGACATAAATAGTTTATTATTCAGTGAATACAATATAAAATACTTACGAACCCTTAATTCGCTGCCCATTTTGAATACTCGAACGAACGTTCCAATGTATACAATTAAGTCTACCTACCTCAGCAACCCACACATTAATATCCTCTATAGATTTTGCGTCACACCTTAAAATAATATTAACATTGTCTTCTTTGACAATTTTATGTTTAAATGATGCTGGATAAATCATATTTTAATTTTTTTGTTCAAAAATATTCAAAATAATAGTTTCAAAAAAAAACATATAATTTTAAAACATAAAACATTGAATATTGATAATTGTATAATTGTATTACAATGTAATACAGCCAATGAGAGCGCTCGATTTCTTGTGGGTCTCTAGCAATGTATGGTATGCTTAATATATGCTGCCGGTTCGCCACAATGGTTTAGATTGTGACGCCAAATAAAATCACTGGTAGCGCTGAAAACTCTCGATTATGAGTGTTGATGATAACAGAGACACTTTTTGCGGGCCGTCCCCCATCACCCGCCCACCATGTCGTTTCCAGTCCATTATATCTTAGTCCGTGCCACGAATATACAGGATGCCGAACGAGAGCTTATCAGGTGAAGACGGAAGTTTCCAAAAATCCAGAATGACTTATAGCGCTTTTAGCCATAGTGGCGTTTAATGAACTAAAACAGTGCTACCATCTAGCAAGAATTATAGTTTTACGTATCTTTATCGTAAAAATTATCATCATGCTAATTTCCCTTTACTTTTATGAAATTGTCTTAATGTTGGATATGTAGTTATTAGATCATAAAATGCATTATGAATATTATGAATGATGATGAATGGATGTAAATAAAGATATAAAATATGATAAATTGACTAATATTTAATTTTGGTATTGGGAATGAAAACGAATACAAATAGAGTTGATAAGATATTTTTGGCTAAGCTGACTATTCATAGTATACAATGTAATATCCTCATGCTTGTATTAAATCAACTGATTTTACTTATTTAAACGATTATAATACAGACTGTGAGCTATTAATTATTAACGTTCGTTTAATAAGGAGTAAATTGTTATCCCAAAATAGTATACCAGGTAAGTATATTTAGTTACACTAGCTATGTCTAAAAATTACCCTGTCAAATGCTGTGTACCACATGTCCACATTGTACATCAACTGACAAGTTGAGATTTGGTATAACAAAAGATTTGTTTTTAAAATGGGAGGAAGTAATAGGTGTACCATTAAAACCAAATTCAAAAATATGTGGTGCTCATTTTTTGAAAAAATGATATTGTTAGTACTTGGGAATCAGGTACAGCAGAAAATAAATATTTAGTAAGTACCTATAGTTAAAAAATTGATTACTTAAGAAGTTAGTTTATTAAATTGTTACAAATAATTCATAAACAGTTAACACATTTAATTTTATATACATTTAGATATGCCTTAAAAGACCTCGATTGAAACCTGGTTCAGTACCTAAACTATTGTTAAACACAAATAATTATACTGAGATATCAATCGAGGATAACAATAGCTGTAACATACAAAACGAATCAGGCATTGAAGTACATTTTCAAATACTATTCTATATAATATATTCATCCAATTAATAATTATAATATATATACTTAGATAGATGAGTTCATGGATTGTAGTAATTTTGATTCACCTATTAATAGTTTATCTACACAAAATGAATATGGCATAGAGGTAATATGCTTATAAATACTATATAATAAAATATATAAATAAAATATAATTGAGCATTTGTAAAGGTTGAAGAAAATACTATAAATATAAAAAACATCAGTAATACTCAAGAAAATGTGCAAAAAAATTCTGACATTCTTTTAGAAATATCAACTACAATTATTAAACTACCTGCTAATTGGTTTAGTGATATAACAACAAATCCAGTTAACAAAGAGAGAACCTTAACATTTTTCACAATGGGACAATATAATGAAAATTACCAAAGAATTGTTGAAAAACAATTAGTTCTTTCATCAGGTATTTTAAATTTGCCTATTATTTATTAGTGTTCACATTTTAATTTGCGAGCTAATGAAAATAAACGAATGAATTTATTTTACAGCTTTAGATATAATTATGCATGTGTTGAATGAAAAATTATCTAACAACGAACAACAAATGTTTTATCCAAATGTACCACTCACAATAGTTTCTGCTAATGTTATATCCAGAATAATAAACATGTTTAATACTGTAAAAGTATGTTATGGATCAGCTCCAGTCTCAACATACCCAGATGTAAAACCTAGTTTGGAACGTCAAATTATAAATAGCAATTGGAAACATTATAAATGTTCAAAAATTCTAGTCACCAATGCGTAAAAATTATAACAAACATTTTATTAAACTATAATCATTAATTACTGTTTTGTCAATGATTTTACTATTATTACAGTGAAATGTGTGTTATCTGTAAACGACTCTCAGATTCTTTGAGAAAAATGCAAAAAAGAACACTTATTGGAAAACCAGTAAGAGTATATTTTTCACCGTCTAAGAGATCTGTTTTGGAAAAATTCAAACAAACTAAAAATATTGCAACACAAAAAGTTGTACGAGCAAAGAAAACCATTTTAAGGTTACAAAATTATTTAAGCGATTCAAAACAACAAATGAAAAATACTTAAGATAGTACACTTTTAAAAATGATTGAGGACCATGGGATTTCAAATTCTCAAACAGAATTGTTGAAAGAAGTGTTTGCTGCTGCTAAAATCCAGAATCCAAAAAATAGACGTTACTCGGAAAACTGGATGTTGTTATGCTTACTTTTTCAAATTCGGTAATATTTATAGCAAAATCTATTAATTTATTTTTATTTGAATAATAATTAAGACTTAAGTCATTATTAATACTTAACACATTTGTTTTGACAATTTTTTTTTACAGTTCATCATCTGGATACAAATTTCTAAGGAATCAAAAGTTGTTACCCCTACCATGTGTAGATACAATAAGAAAGAATTTATTAGCAATTAAAGGGGAATGTGGTTTTGACAACAGCTTTTTTAAGTTGTTGAAAAAAAAATTTGTACATAAAACTATTGATCAAAAAAAGGGAATATTACTACTAAACGAAGTATTTTCAAGAACAAGCTTAAGTGTTAATAGTAGGAACCTTACCTACACTGGTTTAGAAGATTTCGGAAATAAAATTTATAGTAAAACTGAAAGTTCTGAGTTAGCTGACCACGGTCTTGATTTTATGTGGCAAAGTTTAGCTGACAATGTCACTCAGCCTATAGCAGTCTTCGCCTCAAAAGGACCAGTTAAAGGTAAAATTCCCAATTATAGTTTTGCTTTTATTTCTTAAACAATATAAAGATCTTTGAAGCATTAAAATGTTAAAGATTTAAATGTTTTGTCTCACTATTTGAAAATATTCATAGGCGTTGAATTAGCTCAGTTAGTCTTGAGGGCTATCTTATTACTGGAAGACGCTGGACTACAAGTACTAGGTTTGACATGTGACGGAGCTTCAACAAATAAAACCATGTGTAAGACATTTGGTATAAGTGGGATTCAATCAGAATTCAATAATTCTTTTGATAATCCTTTTGACGAGAGTCGTAAAGTCTTCGTGTTTTTTGATGCTCCTCGCATTATCAAAAACATCAGAAACCGACTGGTACAGAATAAACAGTTAAAAGTAATATTATTTTATAATATATCATTAATTTTAATTTAGTTGTAAGAAACAAAATTATTTTTCAGTTACATCATAGTAAAAATTGTATAAAATGGGAACATTACTGTAAGGTACTAGAAAACGACTCAAAGTTTATACTTAAAGTATGTCCCAAGATAACAAAGAGCCATATAGAACTTAACAATCTTTCAAAAATGAAAGTTAAGTATGCCACGCAGGTAGGTATAATAATTTTGTTATTATGTTATAGTTGGTGTAACTATAAAATTATAAAATATTTGATTTTGGTGTGACAACTATGTATTAAATTTTTTTGAAAAAAAATGATTATGCATTTAGTTGTTTAGTAATTCAATGGCAATTGGGCTACGGTTTTACCGGGAACAAGATTGTGAAGGTTTGGAAGATTCGTCGGAGAAAGAAATATTTACTTTACAAATGAATAGCATGTTTGATGCCCTTAACAGGAAATTTCCAGCTGAAGGCATTAGAAAGAATAGCAAGGATTTAGAGGTTTATTATGTGTTGCATGGTTTCTGCGTTTGTGTGTTCAAATTATTTATAGGATATGTATGTAGATCATTTTATGTCATGTAATTAATTGTTTGTAAGACTAGTGTCAGATATTTGTTTATAATAATTTTTTTATTAAAATCAAATGTTTATACAATACAGGTATTAAAACAGAGCTTAGTTTTGTTAAACAACTGGGAAAAACAATTAAATGATGGGTATTTACATGAAAAACAGTTTTTAACCAAAACTACTGCCGAATCATTGAGAATAACACTCCAATCGACCATCGAGTTGACAAATTATTTATTGGATGAATGCAACTTTCACTATGTACTTACAGTAAAATTTAACCAGGACTCATTAGAAGTAAGTGTTACAAAATGTAGAAATATGAATACTAGTTATGGTTATATGATAAATGTATTAATATACCTGTATGATACCTAAATAATGAAAAACAGAATAGTTTATTATGTGAGGTTTACTTACATTTATTTCTAAAATACAAATCCATTCATCCACTCCGACATTCATTCAACTCTATAGACTTCTCTCAGTATACTCTTTGGTAAATAAAGCCACCCAAAAATGGAAACTGTTCATTATCTGGAGGTAACTTGAATCTCATTAAATGTCTTTGTTGATACCTTAATAAAAGGTTATTAATTATTATTTATCAATACTTAATTAAAGATTCTGATTACATACCACATATAAGTATTGGTGACTTAAAAGATGCAATGAAAGAAAACCACACAAATTAGAGATGCTGAAATTTTAATACTTATACATCATATTGACCAAGTGATTGAAGAAGAACGTTGGGATGTTGATGACATTTTTAGGAATAACGATTTTTCTGATGCTGAAACATTTGAATGTGTCGTTTATTATGTTGCAGGGTAAATATGACTTAGATTTTTTTATAAATTAAAATTAATAATTACTTGTTACAATATAATAGATATTTAGCAAAACGTGTGAGCAAGAAAACGAGTTGACCTGACTAGCTACTTGCATACGAGCGACTTACACACCCACTGAAATCAACACTCGGGAATCGTCTTTCACCCGAGATGACTGATAGCTAGACACTCAAACTCAGAACCCGAATTTCCGATTTCAACACACATACGAGAACCGGACATACACGCCCAGGGCATGCCTACCTGACTAGCTACTTACATACGAGCGACTTACACACCCACTGCATCCGACACTCGGGAATCGTCTTTCACCCGAGATGACTGATAGCTAGACACTCAAACTCAGAATCTGAATCTCTGATTTCAACACACACCCTCCTGAACCGGACATACACGCCCGGGGCGTCGTCTGCGATCCTCGGATGGCCTACCTGGCTGGCTGTGTCGTACGATCGACTTGAATCGCCTGACTTATGACTAGCCACTCTTCCGAGTTCAAAAATTACCGCTTAACCAGTGCTGCCAACACGACAAAACACAATACCCGACGACCCCGCCGCAGGCCGGATCAAAAAACCCAGCTCGAGGCGAAACGACAAAGATGTACCACCGCCCACACAGTCTTTCCGCCGTAGGCGGGATGACAAACACCGGAATCTAGTGTATAATAAAATAATAATAATATCATATTTTGATTATGATAATAAACTCGAACTGATAACAAACAAATAGATAATAATATTTACTATTTACGTGCATGGTATCACCTAGCTACGAATTTATCACTGTGAAATTCATTATCGTACGGTCCAATACGGTAATTTGACAAAAAGTATACGTACGGTCCTATACGGTAATTTGACAAAATGTATACGGACAACGGACTTTTACATGTTGGCAACACTGGGTGGTGGGTTCTGCCGTCGGCGTCGGGCTCTGCAGCCGTGTGTCAGGGTTCTACTTGAGAGCATATTAATTTGCCAGCAGGTTCTGGTTCCAGAACTCTCTTTTTTACTCTACTAAAATATTAAATAAATTTATTATAATTTTTATATTGTTTTTGTATTATGTAATCTTAATTTTAATATTTTTATTAAAATTAAATCATAATAAATTTATAATTAAATAAAATATGGAAAATAAAAATATGAATAAAATTAATCACGTAATTGGTGCTATTTGAGGGATTAAGTGATATAAATAAAAATTTTTAATTTGGCAAATTAATATTATAATTTTAACTAGTCTCTCATTAGAAGTAATCGCTAATTTACTATATTTTGATTTAAGAAATCATTTCTTTGCTTTTCAGTCATCTAATGAGTTAAAACATTTTTAATTCAACAATTAATTAATTCAAATTAATTGATTCAATTTGAATAGGTATTAATCTATGATTAATTCCACACATGTCTGAGCATTGACCAGAGTATATTCCAAGACGGCTTATAAAAAGATGAATTAGATTTATTCGTCCTGGAATTGCATCAATTTTAATTGCTAATCTTGGAATAGTTCAAGAACGAATAACATAATCTGATGATATTAGTAATCAAATATTAAATGTAAATGGAATAATAGTTTTATTATCTACTTTTCTTTATTTAAATCATTAATTATATGATTCAAATTCAATAGTCAATACAAATAATTATTAAAATTATAATTATAATTATTCAATAATTCAAAGTCTGAATATTCATGACAGGGGTGCCAGCAAATTGTTTAATGAACAAAAAAATCAATGTATAATAATGTAAATATGTGATTACCTTTGTATGTTTTTATTATATTTTTATTTTAAGGCTTATAACCATAGGCATGTGCAGAGGGATGCCATGACATCCCTTCCCGATAGTTATCATAACCATATAGTTTTTAGTTGTTAATGTTTTGATTATAAATTAGTATCATGATATTTAAATAATTTGATTATTTTTTTATAATAAAATATCGGTAGTTGAGACGAAATAAAATATAAATTAGATTTCATAATTAGATTTTCATAATCGCCACAGCTGGTACCTATTATTAATAAAATAGATTGCTAACTCATGATAATATAGTTGAAATCAAAATCTCCCATTGTCGTGAGAATTGAGGGCTTTGTCACCAGAACATTCATCCCCTACGGTATTCCTTATTTTTATACTACCTACAACTATCAAAAATCATAGTGGTGAAAATTGGGCTCCGCACTGTGGCTGCCGGTCATTCTGCATGCGAAGGACGGTACTGAACTCTCGTGGGAAAATGTTGAAAATATTGTGTGGACACGTATAACGCAACATATACAAACTACAAAGTAGGTATTTAATTATTCGTAATTTCGAGAGAGTTTCTATTGTGTTACTTGAGGTCTTGAGCCATTGAATGCACAGGCCATCTGCTGCAGATAGTATTATCATAAATTGTGATAAAACTATGTCTATCACGGACTAAGATATACAGGACTGGACACGAGATGAATATTGTGGTTACGAAATGTTTTACAACAGGCGGAGTTCGGGGGGATATTTTCCTTTTAGCATTACTAGCGCCGTCTTAGTGGATACTTATGGAACTAGATCACATTATTGTCATCTAGTTCCAAAAGTATCCACTAAGACGGCGCTAGTAATGCTAAAAGGAAAATATCCCCCCGAACTACGCCTGTTGTACTACATTTCGTAGTCAACCCCCCACACCCTCCAACCTTGTCGTGTCCAGTCCTGTATATCTTAGTCCGTGATGTCTATGTGTCGATCACTCACCACTATCACTATTATTTTTATATTATATTGTTAACGCGACAGCGCAGCTACCGACGACCTTCTCGTCATTTGTGCCACCTCCATTAAATACGACCAGGCCCTGCCTGTAAGTTGTCGTCATTCTCTCTCACTTCCTTCGCCTTTCGCCGCCGCGTACTCCACGTTATTCGTACCTACTTTGTATTATTCTCATTACCTTTAAAGTGTGTATTATTAAACTAGGATTAGCCTTTAGCGAATTTCGCAATTAAATAAGTGTTAATTCTTTTCTCCTAGCTACCTTCTCGTATCGTTTGCAATATGCCCCAATAACAGTCAAATCTATAATGATAACAGTGGCGATATGCAAGGATAATACTGAACGAAAATATTCCTCCACGGTATAGCCCAAAACAATTACTTTCTCTCTCAGTGAACCAATGGCAGGGAGGAATTGGAACCGCTGTCCATTTATTTACAAGTCTATGATTTTAACTCATCAAAATATTATGTACCTAATAATACAGAATGTCCCTTAAGGATGTAGCAATTAGCCGTAGAGGTGGACTCGCCACCCAGACAAAAACCAGTTTACCTATAAACTAAAAATGTATTAAAAATCATAAGATCAATGAAAATAAAATGTTTATAATTCAAAATTTTCACAAAAATAAACTATAAAATGGCTATCTTCAATTGTTTCAAAACTAAAAAAATAAATTTGTTTAACTTTTTAAAAAAACGAATTAATTAAATGAAAAAATAAAATTGTGTAATCCTTGTCTCTGTGAGTCAAATAAAAAAAACAGATCTATGACATATTTATTATCTCAGAAGATATCGCATTGGTTGGATCCTCGCAGGACACTCTCTATGTTATTATCATATTTTTAAGAAACCGTAATAAATACTATACAAAAATTAAAAATTTAATTCCCGGGGTTTTGTCTAAAATAGGTACAAAATAAATTAACAATTAATCATAATAATAAACGATAAGTGCAAATCTTAACAAAAATAACAAAATCTAATACATACCTCAGTGAATTAGAGCATAGTACAACTAATAATACACGAATAAAAGTAAAGTTAGCAAACTATTTTGTATGGTATAATTAAATACAAAACAAATTTAATAAAAACAAATTATTTAGAATAAAAGTTATAAAACACAATATTTAATTCAAATTAAAACTAAGAATTAATTTAAGGAATAAAATAGTAAACACATAATTACTCAGAAGAAAATTTAGAATAATTTTGAAAACAGTTCCATCGAATAGCACTAATTCAGCACTTCATTTTGGTGTTATAGCGGATTTTGGTGCTGGCGTTGAACCCGCTACGTGAAATTAGCGGAGAAAGGTAAAAACCCCTGTAACTTTTGACTGACTACAGCACTAATTTTTAAAACGCAACGATTATATAGCACTAATTGAGCAATAAATAGTGGTGGTATAGTGGAAATTAGTGCTCACATCTTTCCGCTAACTTCACGGACCTCCGTCGCTGCGTTATCACTCCACCTTATCACTTTTCACGGTTTTGACAATTTTTCACGATTTTTTTTTTAACATTTTCGAGTTTTAGCCCCTTTTGGTCGTATCGCCCTAATGTTTGGATCTTATTCGCTTTCCCTGCTAAATTTATAACCGGCGCGAGGCCCTACTTCTTCAAAAACGAGTCCCGGGGAGGAGCGGCGTCGCGGAAAAGAGAGTAGGTACCGATTACGTATCACTATATACAGGCATACATACATGCGTCTCGAGGTTCGATTTTTTTTCGCAAATCTCGGGTTTTGAATGTCCGAAGGCGGCGGACACGGTCGTCCGCTCACCGACGCGGCTTAAGAGTCATAGATTTGACACATAGATATATATATCTGTTGATCTACCAATGGTATTTTAATATTAAACATCAGTAATTGATTTTGATACACAACACTGACCTCTGATAATTTATACAAATTATATGGGTCAATATTGTCAATATCAATCGGTAATGATGTGCCTTTAAGTAATGATAATTTAATTTCTTTCATGCTTTCATGTAATGCCTCGATAGATAAAACTCCCGCATGTATTTGACCTGCCCTTGCTAAATTAATCATTTCCGATATATAATTGGTCTCGAATGCATACTGACCTAATAATAAATTCAATAACAAATATGAATCTTGTATTCGTGTTTTATGATCTACCTCAATTGTTTTATTTACTAACTGATCCGATAAATTTCTTATATCTGCCATAAACTCATTAATTTTATTTCGTAAAAATGTAGTGTCCCTATAACTTTGATCTGTTTGTTTCATTACCGTTTTAATGACTCGCGTTTGTGATTTCATTATATTTAACGTACTTTTTTCGGATTGTTGTAATTGTAATACATTATTTGTATTTGTTTCTACGCACTTATTATCGCATATTCCAAATAGTAAATTTGCTAAATTACCTACACCATCAATTATTCCTCTCCTTCCCCTTTTTGAAGGATTTCCTAACGTTTTAAAAATGTTTGCCCTTTTGTTTAAAATTTCATTAGTAAAATCCGTAAATACAGTTTTGAAATTTTGACAAATGATGTTAGCTTTCGATGGTATTAATTCGTTTTCCAGACAATATTGTTTTGTACTATCTAAATATGTATCAAAAATGTTCTCGCGTTCGTTATAAATTGTTAGATTAACATATGTCAAAAGTGTCCATTGTGTGTTTATGATCCTGACGGATCCTTTATTTTCAAAATAAAGCCCTGAGTGGTTGCTCACGTGTGTAATGTTGTATAGTGCATGTTGTGTTCCGTGTGTTGTTGTGTGTAAGATGGACAGACATATAATAAACCTATAATAATTTTTAACTAGATTAGTGTCTATAATTCCGTTATCTAAAAACTCATTTAAATTTATTTATACACACTACAAATATACTAATATACTTTATATACTAATATTTTATACATTCTATGTTTGTATGTATTTTCCTAATTATTATCTACTATTTCGTTAAATAGTTGTAAATGATTCATGTGAACTCTTACTATTTTGTTATTCTTTCTAATCGATACATTTACGGGTTCATGGACCTCCACGATTTCGTATGGACCTATCCAATTAGGTTCTAACTTGTTTTTCTTTTTCATATTTTTCATAAGTACCTTATCTCCTATTTCTAACTCTATCGGGTTAATGTGTTTTTCATAATTAGATTTAGTTTTTAATTTTGCTTCTATTAAATGTTTCTTTGCCATTTGCCTTGCTTCCTGCATACGAGTTCTTAAATCACTTACGTAATCATTGTAATTATAACCCTGTGATGGTGGTTTCAAAAAGCTAGATGGAATGACCGGTTGTATACCGAATACTAATTCATACGGTGTGAACTTATGTGCGGTATGTGGTGTTGTGTTATACATATACATCGCATAACTTAACATTTCACACCAATTTTCTTGTTTTTCGTCACTAAAGTTCCTCAAATATTCCTTTAATGTTTTATGGCTACGTTCAAGAGCACCATTGGTCATTGGCGAGTAAGCTGTGGTTTGCATTTTATTAATTTTTAATAATTTGCACATCTGTTTAAATAACGATGATAAAAAAATTGAACCTTGATCACTTAATATATTTGTAGGAATTCCGAAATAACAAACGAATTTTTCTACAAATGTCTTAGCTATGGTCGCTGCGTCCGTGGTTTTTAATGGATATGCCGCCGAAAATTTAGTTAAATCATCTTGAAGGGTTAAGATGTACATGTAATCATTTCTTGATTTCGTCAGAGGTCCTACTATATCTAAAGCTACTCTTTCGAATGCTCTCGATGAAGTGGTGATAATTAAAAAAGGTTGTTTACTTTTCCGTTTTTCCTTATTAATTTGACACGGTTTGCAATTGTTAATATAGTTCCTAACTTCTTTTTTCATGCCTTTCCATTGTACCCATTGACGTAAACGTTTTACTGTTCTAGAAACTCCTTGATGTCCCCATATGCACTTCATATGTTGTTCTTCAATTAATGCTTTTTTTACTTTATCGGAAATTTTGTAATCTGGATATATTTTTTTACTTTAATATCAGTACCTTTGAAAATGTATCGTAACATACTTCGAATTATATCATAATTAAGGTCAGACATTATTTTCGGAATTGCTAAAACTGTAATTTTTTCCTTTACGCATACGTTTTTTACATTGATTAGCGTTTCGTATAGTATTTTATACGTTGGACTTTGATTAAACGATTCTTTGGTAAAAGCATATAAATATATCCTACCACTATCACATACTACTACGACCTCCTTCACCTTTGTGTTTCTGAGTACCTGGCTACCTATGTGCCGTAATTGATTAATATACTCGCGTAATACATTAAATTTTAATTGTACATCTGCAGTTAATGTAAAAAGTATATCATAATCGCTCGGAATATCATTATATGTTTCATTAATTTCTTCGATATTATTATTTATATCACCTTGTTGTTATTCATAAATTCTTCGAACGACATTTTATCCAAATTTTTTATTACGCATATACGCGATAATGCATCTGCATTACTGTGTTCCGTGCCCGGTTTTATTCACGTCTATTACGTGTTGTCTAAAACAACGTACATATACCGTGTTTCTTAGTACCAATTGATCATGTGTATCATTAAGTAACCTATACCTTAATTCCTTATAAAAATCATTAGGCTCAGGCACTGGTGTGGGTTCATGTTATATATATTATTATATTTATTTTGAAATTCCTCTTGATTGTTTCCTGAAACATAATTATATATATAGTATCGCTTTATTAGTTTACATATACCTAGTTTCTTATTTATTTATTAAATTATTCGTTTATTTCTAGTTTAATTATTATTGTCTTATGTTTTATTATTATATTATTATATATTATTATTTTTTTTTTTGATTTATATTTTATTTTATTTATTATTATTATTATTTTTTTTTAATTAATTTATCTTGGTGAAGGTGGTGGAGTAAAGGGTGTCTCTTCATAATTTCGTACGTAGTCATTTCTATTGGGTGCCCTATTTACATGCGGCCCTTCAGGGATCCAAAAGCTGGTGTACTTTGATAAATAATAATAGTCAATTAGTATGGTAATCAAATGTATTATATTAAACCAGACAAAACAAGCAGAATAATAGTGTTGATTGTAGCGAATTGTAGCTCGTTCCGAAGTTGATAATCTCTGTGTAAGTCGTGTGTGATGGCTGGGCGGCTAAGCGAGTCGTGTGGTGTTCTCGTCTCTGGATACATCTACTCAGGCTGTCTCGCTGTCCCCTATATATATGGTGGCGGGGTCCTTTGAAAGTGAGCGGCGCGTGTACAGTCGTCCTTGATATGGATCTCACGACTATGAAAGTGGTATTCGTAGTCGAAAACACTTTTGGGTGTGGTCGCATTCCTGGTTGTTATTATGAGCAAATATATGATATTGCGTAATCCCATTCCTGGTTGTTATTATGAGCAAAATACATGATATTGCGTAATCCCATTACACCTCCCTACCAAAAAAAAGATTGTTAACCTTTAAGGGTTAAGAATCTTTAACATCGTTAATTAATAGTTTACAATGGCTGAATTACATTGTTTACATTGACATTTAAATTTTGTATACAGTTAACAATTTGATTATAGTATTACATTTGATTACAATAATGTGAGCATTTTACAATTTTTAATGTCATCATTATTATTATTATTGTTTTTTTTTTCTTTTGTTCATATTACAATTTTAATTGTGGTTAGTAAAATAAATTAATACATGATTTAATTAAACAAATAGTGTTAATAAAAATGATTAATAATCTTTAATAACATAATATAGGTACCTGAAATTACAACATTATAAGCGTTGTAAGTATACAATTTAAGTATTTCCCCTTTATATAATAATAATATTTATCTTCCACCTATATATTAATCTATGTGAATAATTGTTAGATTTGTCATAGACATATGCAACTATGGTTCTATTCAAGGTAATTCATCATGTAAGTTGGATCTCTAGTGTTTTCTATTATTTTTACTAATTGTTTGCATTCTCCATTACAATGATCGTCTATGAAAAGTTCAAGGCTTCTAGTTATTTTATTTAAAGTTTTATGATCGTAGTGGTTATTTATTTTCTTGTTTGCCTTTAATATATGCCAATTAAAGCATACGGATTGTAACTTATTTTCTTTAACGTTATAAATATGTACTTCTGTATTTAAAATTGTTTTTAGCTCCTCAATGAATCTAAAATATATAATAAATGTTAATTTATGTATTTGTTTTCATTATTTAATTTATTTTGTGTTATATTTATTTATTAACTAATAATTATTATTTATTTTACCTTAAAATTCCTTTTATATTTTTTTTGCTAATTTATATAATTTAATGGGATTTATTTTTGTTACTATGTAATTGAATAGGCATTTCGTTAAAATTACGTCGGCAACTGGATCATGACAATGTGTAATATTATGATTAATATCGCATGCTAGTTCATGAGCTTCTGATAGTCCTAACATTCTACCATTTTTATTTAATTTACCTAAATAACCTGAATATAAAACTTCCTTAGTCTCTAGGTTTGATAATTCTAATATAAATTCGTCATTATTCCTAACGCTAATTGCCGATATGTTTAAATATGCTAAAATTCCTGTTAATCTTAAACGCTTAATTATCGTGATATCTGACGTTCCGTTCCAAAATACTATTAGCGGCTCCCTATCGTTTATGTGCAAATATCTTTGCAAGTATACCGTAGACAAGGTTGATTCCCCCTGGCGACTTACACTATTGTATAACTGTTCCAGCAATGGTTCAATCACTCTTGCCTTTTTCCCTCGGAATACTCGTTTGATATTCTGCACTATTTTCTTTATGTCGCATCGGCGGAATCTTCTTAACTTATCATCCTTTGTAAGTATAAGAGGACTCCCCTCCAATTTCTTGGGTTGGTATTTTTCTAAACTATTCGATATCGCACCGGATACCAGTAATGTTTCGTTCTTACTGACGGTAAAGAACTCGAAATCCATTATAAAAAAGCGTACCTGTGAGCTAAAATAAAATAATTATTATTTTTTTTTTTTTAAATTAATTGGTTTTTTAGTATTTATTGCTATGTATATGATATATTCCTGAAGTTATTCTTCGAAAATCGTTTCGACGATGACACGTCTTCTGATTAGTTGTTCTATTAGTAAACCCAACTCTACACACATGGGTCGACTATGATTTGGTCTTATGATAACTGTGCGTACAAAGTCATTAACATGGATCATGACCCTTGCTAAGACATTCG